TCATGAGTCACTAATCACTTCTTCAGATTTATTTCCATTTATTCTTTGCATTCTCCTGGACTGAATCCTCCTGTACCAAACTGAGACCTAGGTTTCCTGTCTCATTACCAATGCTAATATCTCCACACATACTACCCCTTGGCATATCACACCTAATCCAATCACACCTGCTATTGCCATTAAGCATCTGAAATAATCTTTATAAAGTTTACTAGGAATAAGGCCCATTGTGGAAATAAATACAGTGAGCTCTAGAAAGAGGCTCTGGGAGACTGCCAAGGCCTTGGGCACTCATTCTCAATTTGCTGTGGCAACCTCCTCAAACCCCACCCTCTCCAGGCTCCACCCCTGAAATCCTCAGGAATTTCCCAACCTGGAGTTTGCAACCCCATCCCCTTCCCAGCTAATCATCAACCTGCCTTTATTTGCCCCTCTGACTGCAGCTGACGTCTGCCCACCTCCTGGAAATCAGTTGTAATTCTGAGTGATCTCCACCCCTCACCTGGAGATTGGCAACAATGGTTCCCCAGGAGAAAATGGATGGTTGGGAGGGTGGAATCTATGGCATTGTACCTGTCTGAGGTCCTACCCCTCTTCAGACCTCACCCTCTCCAGGTTCCATCCCTCAAATCTTCAGGAATTTTCCACATGGAGTTGGCAATCTTACCTCCTTCCCAGCCAGTCATCAACTTACCTTTATTTCCCCCTCACTCTTCAGCTTTCCTTCCCCCCCACACGTGCAGTTTCTACCGTACTCTGAAGCCCTGACTGCCACATCACATTGGCTATCATGGGGGGGGGGCATCTCACCAGGGTATAAGGACACAGAGTCCACCATTTTTTCCAGGGGAATTGATCTCTGCCATCTGGAGAGCAGTTGTAATTCTGAGTGATCCACACCCCTCACCTGGAGATTGGCAACAATGGTTTCCCAGGAGGAAAAGTAAGTCTTTCTCTGCAATGGGGACCAAAGCAATTTACATCATTCTCCTCTCACCCGTTTGACTTGCACAACAACCCTGTGAGGTAGGTTAGGCTGAAAGTCTGTGACTGGTCCAAAATCACCCACTCAGCTTCTACAGCAAGAACCTGGATCTAGCAGACCCTGTTCTGAAGTGCTGACTGCTATGCCTAGGGCAGCCAACCTCCAGGTGGAGTCTGAAGATCACCAGGTATTATGACTGAACTCCAAACAACAGATCTCTCCCCCCCCCCCGGAGGAAATAACTGCTTTGGAAGGTGGGCTTTATGGCATTCTGTTCAGCTGAGGCCTCTCCCCTCCCCAAACCCTGGCTTCCATAGACTCTACCAGAAGTCTCATTCTCATTTCCCCCAATATTCCTTTTTTTCCTTCCCTGAAAGTCCCCATGGCTTGTCCCCTTTTCCTGCTTCCCTCTCTCCTTCCCAACCACCAGTTAATCTACCTTTATTGACTTCAGCTTTCCCTCTCCCAGTAGCCTCTACCTGGGAAAACTATGGTCCATTTAGGCTATGCCAAGTTGGGCAGTGCTGGCCATTGGGCAGAACTCAGTTATACAGCAGATAACCTACAAGCATTTGTAGAGGGCACCTTATTTTCCCCTGTATACTTTCCCCCACAATATTTCCTCTTTTTCCTCCTCTTGGAAACCCCTTCACTTTTCCCTGCTTTCTTCTCTCATTACCACCCACCCACCAATGAACCTACCTTTTATATGTCCCTACCTTTTATCTTTTTATAACCCACCTTTCTCCACAATGGGGACCCAAAACGGCTTACACCATTCTCTTATCTTCCATTTTATCCTCACAATAACCCTTTGCCATAAGTTAGGCTGATACTGTGTGATTGGCTCAAGGTCACCCCATGAGCTCTCATTGCAGAGTGGTAATTCAGACTTGAGTCTTCCAGATCCTAATATGAAACTCTAACTATTACATCACATTGGCTTTCATGGGGTGGCTGCTGTTTGAACAGTAGCAAGATGCCACGTCTGAATGAGTCATATAAGTCAGGAGATAATGAATTGCCAAGTGCTAACTGCCAGACCTCACCCCAGTGAGTCCAGTTTAGTGTAGTGGTTAAGAGCAGCCAACTTTAACCTGAAGAACTAGGTTTGATTCCCCACTCCTCTGCATGTAGTCAGCTGGGTGACCTTGGGTCAGTCACAGTTCTCTCAGAGCTGTTCTCTCAGAGATCTCTCAGCCCCACCTACCTCAAAGGGTGTCTGTTATGGGGAGAGAAAGGGAAGGAGATTGTAAGCTGCTCCGAGACTACTAGTGAAGGGTGGGGTATAAATCCAACTCTCCTCCTCCTCCATCAAAGGCCAAAACAGCCCTGGAAATGACCTTCCCCTTTTCCCTGCCTTTTACTGACAGAAATCAAAGCTTGAAGGCTGACAATATTCTAATTTCCTAGCAATGGCCAGTGAGGGCACTTGTTTCTTAAAGCTACAGATGCTTTCTATTTTGGGGGGAAGGAGGTTAAAAAACGCCAACACCTGGGGTGTTTTTCAAGTTTACAGAAAGATCTGTCTTGGCTGTTCATGGTTCCAGTCTCTGGATTTACATATCCACACATTTGGCCACATTGAGGATTAGCTATATTGATGATTAGTTGGAGTTCATTCACCTTGATACATACAAACACCCCCCCCACACACACACAATACTATGTGCTGCTTGTGGGCACCTGGCCTGAAGCATGGAGGGTACTTTCCATGTGAAAGTACCATCAGCCATGATCAAGTAACTTCCTACTTACATTCTTTCATAAAACTAGAGTGCACACGTTTGTAATCACGAGGATATGAGTAATATTGATACTTGGAAAGGAAGACATTACCTTTCCTCTTAGTGCTGAAAGAAAGTCTGAAACTTGACATTCACTTCAGAACTACCATCTTTTCATGCATGCCTGGATCATGACCTTGTATATTAATAATAGTATCTTTCCTTCTTTATGAAAGGAATGTTCTTCATCTGATTCTACACCTAATTCACTGCTCTGGGAATCCTGTAGATATGATTATAGCAACACAGTTAATGTTGATAAGGAAACTACCAAAGACAATCAATCATTAACTAAATTATTGTGCTAGTCTCTTTCACATCTCACTGAAGTCCAGAGTTCAGTCATTCCCAATATGAAAAAAGTCAGAACTGCTTTCTCACAGAACTACTAAAGTGTTTCAATCAGTTTCTATGACTGCTCTTACTCTGAAAACAAGCACACCTCATTGTGCATTTTGCTCTATCTAAGGCTGTCCGAGGATATTCTACGGTTCTTTTACAAGGTTCCAGAGGTCTTTTACACAGTTCTTCTGAGTAGTGAGACATCAGTACTGGCAAATAATTCTGCAGGAGAGGGACAGAGCACAGTCCTTTTAGTCAAGAATCAACCAGAACTACAGGAGAACTGGGTTAATTTCTAAACTTGTTATTTATCTTCGAGGAGCTGAAAGGGAGCATGTGAAGAGTAAAATAAACAAGTTATCTGGCTTAATATCTGTTTATTTGAACACAGGGAGCAAGCAGACACTCAAAAATCAACTGTGACAGAGCTACTCTCCAGTTCCCCAAATGTAAGAACACATCCTCCCAGTTCCCCAAGGCTGCAGCCTTCTGTAACAGGTGGAGGTTGCTGTAACTTTAAGGACAGGCCAATATAGAGTGCATTACAGTGGTCTAACCTCAAAGACCATAGAATTTTTGCCAGTTAACCAGCTCCAAAAACTCAGCCTGTTCCCCTTTAATGACCATGTTCCCAACTGTAGAACTGTTGCTGCCAGAACTGACCTTGGCAGCTTGAGATTTGAGAGAACATCAACTGACCTCCCAGTGCTCATCAACCAAGGATCTGTATCTAGCAAGCTGTGCACAAGCCTAGAACGATGACAATCTACACAACCACATATTTTGCAACAATTGTGTCCTGTGTTGTCTGGGAGCCATGCAGCTCTGCCCCCAAGAAATATTCAACAAATAGATACAGGAGCTACA